GGCCAACAGCCTACAATAAATGGTTCACAGTCTGCGTTCAGGTCCTCACACTACTCTCCACTACACATACTTGACAGGAGTGGTTCGAACAGTTGGTGGTTGACTCACCGGAGAAAGTAAATTAGTTTTAATTTTGATACTTTATCAACCGATGTGTAGGTACGTAATTGAGAATCAAGTGCAACCGTGCTAAACTGCTTCTTTTGTCCTTTAGGCACACATCTACGATGCAGTACTTCAAATGAGGTGAGGTCAGTCTTCTTGCCTCTCGGCGATGCCAACAACAAGTACAGTTTGTCTGTTGTGGTGACTGTGAAAAATGAGCGAAAAACAGCAACTTCAACTGTCATCACTCAGGTTGGTCATCAGTCAATTATTACATTTTCTCAAATACAAAAAGGAAGATTAGAGAAATGCTAATGATTAATTAAATAACCTCAGTTATTGTGTTTCTACCTTAAGGTAGGGAAAGGTGACTCCAGTGCCTCCGTTAGCACTCTCCAGTCTGCAGTGGAGGACTCTGTGAGTCAGTTAGAGCAGCAAGGTCTGCTCACCGGTGAGGCGCTTGGACAAATATTTGCTTCTGTTTCCGATATGCTGAATACAGTGAGTGGCCAACATCAGAGGGATGAGCGGTCAAAGGTAACAGAATGCAGTTAATGTTATAACTGGACCGGGGTAACACTGCTGTGATGTTTACGAGGCCCACAACTTGCGAGTGGAGAACATGATAATCATCGTTTCCTTCTCTTTCAGCTGAGAGAGCAAATGCTGACCAGAATGAGTACAGTTCTGCAGGACTGCCCCAGCAACACGACTCAGGAAGTGCAAGTGACCGCCAGAGCTGTGGCTGGGCTCACGCACCGCTCAGAGGACCTCAGTCCTGCTGCTCAAGTATAATACATTAGATATGCAATAAAGTGCAGTGCAGACCTGCTTTGATAAGGCTGTAACAATACCTGCTGTCTATTTGCATTATTTATTTAAGGATCAGTCTGAAGTGTTTAATCCGTCAAAGCTGATTAAAGACTAAAAATGTGATGTTGGCACAGATGTGTAAAACACAGCAGGATTAAGTGAAACCAGTATTCAATCATGCAAAGTCAGTCCACTTCTTGAGTAGGACTCTTGAGAACTTGTTTTTTGGTCAAACAACTGTTGAATTTAACTGTGCAATGAATATATTTTGCAGCAACACCAAGCTAAAAAAACAACAACAAATTAAATACCCATTTAAACTACAGGTTTAGTGTAATCATCAGCCTTTTTTGTAGGCTTAAGGCAAATCAACACTGACCCTTTTGTGGTTTCTGCTGCTGCATTTCCTCTCTCCAGGAAGAAGCGGGTTCTCTGTTGGTAGACCTCAGCTCCTCCCTCAACAGTATCAGCGTCAATCAGCAGAGCACAGATGATGTAGAACTGGTGCAAGCAGCTGCACCCATAGTTGAAGCAGCCAGTAATATTTTGAATGTTTCATCAAATGTGAGAACAAAATTATGACATATCATGCTGGATGTCATTCCTACGTCCACTGCGATCTTTACCAAACAAGATGTTGTATGTTCTCCTTAGAAAAAAGTCTCAGAGTTTCTTCTGACTGGGATAAATAATGTCCAGAGTGCTCTGCTGAATAACAAAGAGCTGAACGGAGAGCCTGCCATTGTTGACTCTGGTCAAATCAGTGTGTATGTGAACAGGTAAGACATAACAGGCTCTGACTTGGACATGTGCTCAAGAATTCCTGAAGATAATTATAACACCGTCTTCTCCAGGATTTCTCCAAAAAGCATGCAAATGCTGGATATAAATGCTCAGAAAAACAGCTCCTCGAGTTTTTCCTTCCCTGCTCTTCCTCCTCATATTGTCTCTCCAGATGAGCCAGTGGACGTCAGAGTAAGTGTTTGCACGCTGGAGGGAAGTGGACATCATCATCAGTATATTTTTGAGAGTTTTTTTCTGTTTTCTGTTCTAGTTTTCTTTTTTAGTCAGCATTTGTTTTTTCCTGTAGCTGAAAGTCCACAGTTTAGATTTGATGAACGTATCATTTTAGTTCCAGCAATAAGAGATACAAACAGACCACCTTATTTGTAGGGTTTTTTTTTTCTCTTTTCTGGCTTTGTAAACTACAAGATGTTGGAACCATTTAAAAGAATTACAAACAAGTAAAATCATAGAAATAAAAGCGAGAAGGAAAAGGTGCGACCCCTGTTTTCAGAAAGCAAAAGCAAAGTTTTGTAGATGGAAAAAACATTGCTTCACCAAAATCATCTGAGCCTCTATTTATTGTACCTACTTTCTAGATGATGAGTTTTGAGAAGAATCCATATTCTTGGAAGGAGGAGAACATCACAGGAACTGTGGGATCCGTTTCCCTCACCAGAGTGAATGGCGATGTCATTCCTGTTGAGAACTTACCTGAAGAGATAGAGGTACTATTGTATAAGAGATACTTTTATTTACTTTAGCTTAAGAAGCATTTGGGGCATGATGTCTTTTCTGGAGTTTCAGATTCTCCTACCCCGGCTTGACAGTGGACAGGAGAACAGCACAGTCCTGGACCTCGCCAATTTCAGCACATTAATAATTGACGTTCCCTCTCCGGATGTAACACTGGTGCTGAAAACTGAGCCTTCTGAAGACATTTCCTTCATGCTCTTCCTGGGATATAAAGATTATCCAAGTGATAAGGATTATGTAGCCAAGACAAAGATCCCTATAGAGAGCGCGAGAGAAGGTCAGTATTTTGTTTTTAGAAAAGAATATTAGGGTTGCATATAATTAATGTAAATTCTTTTTATCTGGACTTCTTTTTCTTAAAATAACCGACATCCCTAAGTATCATGATAACACAAACACTTCTTTTGTGTACTGCCACTGCCTGGTTTAGGACAGCACAATTAGAAAAAGACTGAATGAGCTTTTTTAGCTTGTTTGGAGGGGTTTCCAGGAGAAAACCTCTTCTCTCAGAAAGAACATGACAGCACAGCTTAGGTCTACAAAGTTTCATATGAACAAACTACAAGAGTTCTGGAAGAATGTTTAAAGAGATGAGACCAAAGTGCAGCACCATGTTTGGTTGAAACACGCAGGATATCAGCACAAACGCCTAAAACCAAACCTCAGCCTGATTGAAATGCTGTGGTGGGACCTCAAAAGAGCTGTGCATAAACTAATGCCTAAAAATGAAATGAAGAACCATTGTAGGGAAGACTGAGGCAAAATTACATCAGAGATCAATGAAGCCTAGCATAAAGTGATTATTTTTAAGTTACTGCAGCTAAAGGTGGCTCTACAAGCTCTTGCCGTGGTAGCTTTCTTTTTCACGTGACTGCAGAACAAACATCCTTTTCATACTTTGCAGATAACAAATAACAGTAGATCCCATTCCTGTGTGGTCATGCATGGTGAATAATGTACTGTATAGTATAGTGTAGATGTAAATCTGCATTAAGTTGAAGATAACTCTCAAATTGTGGGAACCAGAGCCTCATTATGAGGGCATCTCTACCTCATGGAGACAAGGATTAAGCATTAAGGTTATGCAAGCCGTAATTATGGTTAAAGTTAGAATGAGTCTTCTTAAAATTGTCTCTGTCTCTCTGTTATAACACAGAAGAAAAATTTACTTGGGTGCTGAGTCCCAAAGACAGAACAGATGATGTTGGTGTGCACTACCTTGTTATAAAGCCCATTGTAGAGCCAGGAATCAAATCCATCAACGCCAGTGTCACTGTCATCTCCATTGCTGCCCAATGCAAATACTGGAATGAAACTGGGTCTTTTTGGAGTGAGGATGGCTGCAGGGTAGGTGGAAAAAAATCACATCCAAACGGATTGCATTATTACTTCCTTAAAATGTGGAGTGTGAGGTTTGATCACCTGGCTTCCTGTTTTGTTCACAGGTTGGTCCACTCACCACACCTTTGGTCACTCAGTGTCTCTGTAACCACTTGACCTTCTTTGGCAGCTCCTTCTTTGTCATGCCTAACTTAGTGGATGTGTCACGCACCGCTGAACTTTTTGCTACATTCACAAACAACCCCGTTGTGGTGTGTTTTGTCGGAGCCATTTTTTGTGCTTATCTATTGGTGGTGGTATGGGCGCGCAGGAAAGACATGCAAGATTCAGTCAAGGTAAAGTAGAGCTTCACCAGTTTACACCTTTTGCTTTTAAGAACTTCATGCTAACCTTCAATGTTTCATCTTGATTTTACTTTAATTTTGTATTGAAATTAAAATTTTATCATTAGTTTTTTTTAAAAAAAATCCTAAACGTTGCCCCATTGCATCCACTTCCAGGTCAAGATTACAGTTCTGGAGGACAACGACCCCTTGGCTCAGTATCGTTACCTGCTGAGTATTAACACAGGACACCGACATGGTGCATCCACTTCCTCTCAGGTCAGTGATGTTGATGCAGACTTGGATGGACTCACAGCAAAAGCAAAACCCATCTGATGTTTTTGTTGAACAACTTATGATTGTGGTATTCTGATGGCTCTCACCATCCAAGCCTCGACTAACCATTTAGTTATTTTTTTTATTTTAGGTAACCATAACTCTGCTGGGTACAGAGGGAGAAAGTGAGCCCCACCACCTGACAGATTTGGAGAAGCCTGTGTTTGAGAGAGGTGGGGGGGACATGTTTCTGCTGACCACACACTTTTCTCTTGGAGAGCTGCAGAGCATAAGACTGTGGCACGACAACTCAGGAGATCACCCTGCGTGGTACGTGGGTTAAAGGGAAAAAGACTAATGATAAGCTTGAGCTGTATCAATATTTTTGAGGATCTATACTTCAATCAATGTGCAGGTATGTTAGCAAAGTGATGGTGCAGGATCTGGAGACTGGTCAAAAGTGGCACTTTCTCTGTAACTCCTGGTTGGCTGTAGATATGGAAGAGTGCACTCTTGACAAGGTGTTCCCAGTAGCAACGGAGGTGGATCTAAAGAGATTTAGGTGAGACTTGTCATTTATTCATGGGATTTTGAATCCACTCTGGTTTTGCAGTTTGTTTTCTTGACTTTAATTTCTTGAATCACTTTTCTTAAAAACTTTTTAGTAATCTGTTCTTCATGAAGACAGCCAAGGATTTCCGTGACGGCCACATCTGGTTCTCTGTCATTAGTCGACCTCCGTGCAGCACTTTCACACGTGTGCAGCGAGTGTCCTGCTGTTTTTCCTTACTGCTGTGCACAATGCTGACCAGCATCATGTTCTGGGGCATCCCCACAGACCCCTCTGAGCAGACGATGGACCTGGGTAAGTAACAAAATATTTTGATACTTCTGCATCATAAGTGTAATTTTTATTTTGTTAAAAACTTTATGAATACAATCAGACACATGCAGCAAATTATGCAAATTAAAATTAATATATGCAAATTGATGTTTAATTACTTTTTGTTAAATAATTTGTTACAAGAGTCAATAAACACAACAGGTTCAAATATTTTGATTTTGATGTGAAGAGAAATATCTCATGGTTGATGTGGAGTTTGATGCTCATGATGCTCATGTGAGTTTTGGATTCCTGCATTAATTTTATTATACTCTCCATGAATTCTTGTGTTTTGTTTCTTGTTTGGTTCAGTTTTGGGGGCCCTGTTCCCAGTTCAGGTTTTAGAATTGAGTGTTATGATGTGTTTCAGTTTGTTCTAACATTTTATTTCAGTTCATGGCTTGATTTTAGTCTGTTTCCCAGTCTGTATTCCCGTTTCTTTGTTTATGCGCTCGCTCCTTCTGCATCCCTGACTTCCTGCTTAATGGAATCCTTTATGGATGGATCAGGTCTGCTCCTCCCTGATTTTACCTGTTGTTAAAAACTTTGTTAAAAACATCCAGCCCTCACCTGTGTCTTGTTTGTCTTCTCTTTTTTTGTGGTTTGGTCTGAATCCCAGATTACTTTGCTCACTTGTTTGTTTGGACTTACACTTAGTTTTCAGTATTAAAAGCTTTTCTTTAATTGCACATTTCCTTACCTTCAAGTCTATGCACCATCAAAACTGACAAGATTTAAAAATTTTACATACGTGCAAACGAAAAGAAGAATATCTGATTGATTTTTTACAAAAGATTTGGTAGCAGGAGTAAGTAAGACCAACATAAAAAGATTTAATCTTTCATCAGTGTTCATCAAAACCCAATTCAATGTAAGACTTTAACTTGGCAGGTCACATCGAGTTTACCTGGCAACAGGTTATGATTGGAGTTCAAAGTTCAATCATCATGTTCCCCATCAATCTGCTCATCGTGAGTATCTTCAGAAACACTCGTCCTCGAGAGAAAACCACCAAAGCAGATGCAAAACAGGGGAAGACTGTCCGAGTTTCTCCCTCACAGACGTCGTCCCCACAGAAAGAGATAAAGGACATCACACCAGATACCGTGATGAAGGTGAAGTTTATGTTATTTGTACCTCTTCAGCGTAGTACCAGTAAATATTTTGTTCTCCATGTCTGAAGAGCTTGGTGTGGTTTCTTGATTAGGACATAAAAAGAATTGCTCAGTCACTCTCAAAGGCCATGAAGAGCCCACTGCCACATCTGGAGCTCCATCATGGTCAGCAGGCTGACATCAACGGTCTGCTGTCTCTGGTGGAGGACATCATCAGACAGCAAAACCAAGCCGCTGAAGACTTCTACACTGATTCTTCAAAAAAAGATCAAGCTATGATCCTTAGTTTGGGTGCGGTGAATCTGCAAGGTAAACTGCACGATAATATTATAAATACTTTTAAATTCTATATATAATTTATGTCCTCCTTTGTGTGTTTGCTTGGACAGAAACCAGTGTGTGGGAGAGCTCTGAAAAAACTTTAGATCTAGCCCAGAAGAAGAGCAACAAGAGCCGGTACCTGTACAGGCAACTGCAGCTTATCGAGAAGGAGCTTGGTATGTTGGGACCTTCTCAGTTTCCAAATCCAGACAGCTACAACCGAGCCATGCAGCAAGTTCAGGGAATGAAGGGGCTTCTGGAATACCACCTACCCATGTCAATCCTGGATGGAGACAGCTGTTTCCCCGGGCCAGAGGAGAGTCTTGGTGGGAAGAAAAAATGCTGCCAAGGAGGGCTGCCGTGGTGGTTTGTGTTTATCGGGTGGATACTGGTGATTGCAACCAGTGGTGTGTCAGGATACTTCACTATGATGTATGGGCTGACTTACGGGAAAGACCGTTCTATAAGCTGGCTTATCTCCATGGTGGTCTCATTTTTTGAGAGTCTTTTTATCACCCAGCCTTTAAAGGTGAGAAACATTACAGTATATGTAGGAGCAGAAGATATTAGCCCACTTTAGAAGATTTTTTTAACTGATATTTTATTCAATTTTAGAAAATTACTAAGCAATATCAAATCAGTTTTTGTGCGAAATACTGCACTGATTTACCTGTATACTGAAATTATTGTTACATTTTCGTAAGACAATCCACTCTAGATAAGCCATTTTTAAATGGGAGAGTCTGTAGGTCAATCTCTCTATCGTTTGCTGCAGGTTCTTGGATTTGCTGCTTTCTTTGCCCTCGTCCTGAAGAAAGTTGACCAGGAGGAATACGGAGAACCAGCCATAGAAGAAAGTCTCAGAAGCCCAGGTAGTTTTAGTTTGTATCCTTGTTTTTTTTTTCTTTTGCATTTTGCACTGCATCTTTTGCATTGTTTTGTGTTGAAGAACAAAAAATGCAATGCATCTAAAATCTAAAATCCTCCCCCAGATAATCCTGATGCAGTCCAGGCAGCAAGAAGAGACAGCACCTGCAGTTTCTATAAACCGCCACCTCCCACTGATATCGAGAAGATGCGGAATAACATGATTAAAGAGCAGAAAGTCTTTGCACTCATACGGGAGATTGTCGGTGAGGAAACCACTTTGATTCAAAGCAAGAACAGGAACTAAAATTTTAACAAACTGATGTAAGGGATCTGTTGTTGCAGTCTATACAGGATTTATGTGGATGTTACTCCTGGTGGCATATGGTCAGAGGGACCCCAATGGCTACTTTCTGACTCAACACATTCGCAAGAGCTTCAGCAAAGGCGTCTCAGACACAATGAGCATTCAAGATGTGTTCAACTGGGCAAACACGACTCTGCTGAGCAACTTGTTTGGAGAGTACCCAGGTCAAATATCAGTGACGCTAATTGGCACACAGAATGTTTTACATGAATCCCTTATGAAATTTGAAAATCTTTTAATTTAGTTTTGATATTTTTTTTGAATAAATAGCTGAAGCTTATCTCAATTAAAAACAATTTTAAAAATGTAACAATTAAATACAAGATATTAAACAACTCCTGAGAATTTAACAATATTACCCATGTGAAACTAACTGTATATTTATGTAGTAAAGCATAAAGATTCATTAAAATTTCTTCTTGTCATTTGGAAATTGTTACCAGGATTTATCACTGATGGAAACTCAAGGCTTGTGGGCAACGCTCGTCTCCGCCAGGTGAGGGTGCAGAAAAACTCTTGCCACATAGCTCGATCCATGCAGGAGTCTATCCCGGACTGTCACACTCCGTACTCATGGGAGCTGGAGGACATGGGCTCCTATGGCCCAGGTTGGACTCAACCTGTAGGTCGTAATGCTTCAACGAACATTCACGACCCGTGGAAGTATAAGTCTCAGCGTAAACTGAGGGCCTACCCCATCTGGGGCAATGTGAAGCTCTACAGAGGAGGAGGGTTTGTGATGGATCTGGGGCCAGATTTCCAAAACTCCAGCAGGTAGCTAATTTTAATTGCGGGTGAAATTATTGCACTTAAATGGTATAGAGAGTAAACTGAAAATATTTAGAATTCAGAGCATTTATCAAAGAAAAATATTAAAATTAAAATATTGTTTTATACATAATATATGCAGTTGTAACTTGTGGGTTGCAGGTTTAATTACTCTTATTAAGACAAAGTAAACCTAAATGTATGATGAATAGACAGAAGCCATTGCATTGGTCTCCAGAAATATGACTATTATGACCAAATAAGTAATTTGCTTCTCAAAAAAAGATCTTGACACTGACCCACATCACTGATGGCTCAGCTGATACTCTTCTCAATTAATATTCACTTTATAAATCACATCTATGCTACACTTTGGGCTACTTTAGCCTGCCCAGAGTTGCGGCTTCTGCAGCAGGCAGGTTTTCAACCATCTCCTCCTGAGCTGACTTAATCAGTGTCATATCTCTTAACACCGATAGATGCTTTGCCCTTGCTGGTCAGAAGATCCCATTTATACTGGCAAATCTAAATCTTATCTTGAGTGTCCCTGACTGGTTCTGATTTGTCTTTTTTATCCTCGTAGGAAAGAACTGTTAGTCTTGAGTCACGTTTTAAAGTACAAAATCTGTAAATTACTTTGTTTATCGTTGCTGCTGTAGAATCCTTCAGTACCTTTATGAGAACACCTGGTTTGACGTGTACACCCAAGCAATCTTTGTTGAGTTCACTGTGTACAATGCCAATGTCAACCTCTTCTGCATCGTCACACTCATGCTGGAGACCACAGCAACAGGTAAGTAGACCAGATGTAGATATTCTGTGTGAGTTGCACAAATCCTCAACCGTTATGAGAACCACCTAATCTGTCATACCGTGTTTCTATCAGGAGCTTTCCAGTTCCGCAGTGAACTTCAGACTGTGCGTCTTTACCAGTCGACCGGTGGCCTTCACATCTTTGTCATGGCCTCTGAAATCATCTACTTTCTTTTCATCATCTATTACATGTTTGTTCAGGTGCACAAGCTTTATCTTTTCTTTGCTAATATAAATATAAGTTATTACAAGTGACGTTATACAGTAAATATGCTCACCTGATTCTGTTTCCTATGTGTTTACAGGGAAAGTTGATGAAGAAACAGAAATGGACTTATTTGAAGAATAAGTGGAACCTGCTCGAGTTGGCGATCATCATTCTCAGCTGGAGCGCCCTGTGTGTTTTCATCAAGAGGACTTTACTCGGGAACAGAGACATGAACTATTACCAGAACAACAAAGAGCAGTAAGCAATAAGAAATGCTGTACGTTTAGGAACCACTTATGTATTGCTCTGCCCACCAGGAGCTGCACAAATCAGGTTTTTTTCTATTTCTCAGCATGCAAGGTCACAATTTAGTGGCTCTCCAGTAGCATGACCATGCATCGATGAAACTAATTCACTTTGGCAGAGAGTGCATACATCATGCTGTGCTACTGGTAGTTTGGGAACACTAATTTTAGCTAAAACAAATTGTGTGTGTGTGTGTCTGTGTCTATGTGTCTATGCGTGTGTATAATCCCTGTGAGCCAAAAGCTGAGGCTTCAGGTTTAAATGGTCTGTTTCAGAGAGTTTTTTTTAATCTACTCTTGGATCTGTATGATGTGAGGGGCAGCCATTCAAAATCCAGAATGCTTTATAGGGATGGGAAAGGGAGCTAAAATTGTTTGTTTTGACAGTGGATGAATTGAAGGGCTTTACAAAGGTCTAGTGTAAAGCCTTGAATATATCTTCCCCATCTGTCCCCCAGGGTCTGCTCAGATCAGGGTGAGGACAACCTCATCATTAGACAGCAAGCGCTAGGGTCCGTGTGGATGTTTGTGTGTCTGTCTGCTTTTTGTGACCACGTGGGCTCGTCCACAGAGAATTTACATTACACCAACAACACATCCACCCCGGGTGATGGATTTCAAGCTGACTTCAAAGAAATATAATAGGGATAACTACTCAGCCGAAGAGTGTCCACAACAAAGACTTAACGTGCGAAAGGATTATTTTTAACTGTGAATCAAGTGAGGCTGTCTAAATAGAGTTCAGGACTGATATGGAGTTGGAAATGAGCATCAGAGGTCCACTTTAATTCATTTTTAACTGGTCTTTTTTCTTATACAATAAGAGATAGCATCTTGTTCAAGTAAGTTAATCTTGTGTGTACAAGATGATACAACAAAAATAACTGGTGCACATAAGATAAAAAATGTGTGCAGATGGAGAAAAATCACGTTAAGGAAAGGAAAAACATACATGTAATCCACATCAAGAGTAACTGTGCTATATGACATTTTAAATCTTGATTTATGATTGTGATGGTGAAAATATTTATTTGTATTCTACAGTGAGCAATAAAGGATTTAAAAATAAAACAATTTAAAGAAAATCATTTAAATTGATTTTCATTTTTTTTCTGTTTCTGCTCTGTCTAGGTTCGTGAGTTTCCATGAAACAGCCAAGGCCGATGCAGTGCTTGGATATCTGATTGCCTTTCTGGTACTGCTGGCTACAGTCAAACTGTGGCACCTGCTGAGACTGAACCCCAAGCTTCACATGATTACAGCCACACTGCAGCGAGCTTGGACTGATATTTCAGGCTTCCTGGTGGTCATGACCATCATGTTTCTGGCCTACTCTATTGCTGTGAGGAGTTTCCCACGCTTAACATCAACATGCTGCTGGAGTCCATGTTTCTCTCTCTGTTTTATGTTTACTTTGTGAAATAGAAGTCAATTTAAAGGTGGTCACTGACACAGAGGTGAACTTTCTATTTTCCAGTCTAACCTGATGTATGGCTGGAAGCTGTACTCCTATCGGACTCTGCTTGATGCTGTGCAGACCATGGTCAGCTTGCAGCTTGGTATTTTTAACTATGAAGAGGTCAGTATGAGACAATCATAATTCAACCACAGCTCACTTTTGCTGCTCATCCTCCTTCACTGTAGTTCTTGCTTCTGGTCCCACAGGTACTAAATTACAATCCAGTGCTCGGTGCTTTCCTCATCGGGTCCTGCATCGTGTTTATGACCTTTGTGGTGCTGAACCTCTTCATCTCCGTCATTCTGGTGGCATTCACTCAGGAGCAGATACATCACAAGGTAACTCACCCACACCACGTCTGAAATGCTGCTGGTGTTATTGTTCAGTTCCAGTAGAGGCCTGATTGTTAACATGTTTTTTTTTTTTAATGACCTGAGATGAATTAATAATCCTTGAGTTATACTGAATGCTCACTGTTCTTGCAGCCGTCAGAAGAGGATGAGATTGTGGACCTGATGCTTATGAAAATCTGCAGTTTGTTTGGAATCAAATGTAAGAAAGAAGGAGACGGCCTGACCGGGAGGCCAGACACGTCGTCTGCGCCGAATAACACACTCTCAACTATTTCTTCTGGGAACATTCATGATGGATGATAAGTGGGACAGGGATAGAAGGTTAACATTGTGAGACCCATCAAATGCTTTGCTTTAGTTCCTGCTTGCCTTCATTAGCATGATTTAGTTGTCATGTTGTTGTTGCTTTGTAACGCAATATTTTAACCCTTCCAAGTGTCTGTATTAGCATTTTTCTGTGCTGCTGCAGAGCTGGAACCATTGTATGAGAAGCTGATGTACTGCAGATGCTAGAAACTGAGGCGATCCTTATTTTATCCACATATGAGGCATTGTACGTAGAATGCAGTTTGTTGTGATAAAGGAAATAAATTAGTATTTATGTGACTAAATTGTGGACAATATGCATTTATTCCATAAAAGTACTCATGGATATTAGTGGAAACCTGCACTGGCATTACCCTGGCAAGGCTAATCAATACTGTCATTACTGTCCAGCAGTCAGCAGCCATGCCCAGTAGTTAATAGTAATATACTGAGCACTGTGTTGTGCTTAGCATTATATCCCCATGACCAATTCCTGTAAGAGCATCTCATATAACACAAGTTTAGACAACATACACAAGAGAGCAGAGCACAGAATTTGTTTAAAACAACATTCAAGTTAATGTGCAAGTTATTTAGACTGCTCATAGCATCTTCAAGACCTTTTAAAGACATTATCGCGTGAAGTCTTATCCATTCGAGCAACAAAAAAGGGAATTTAAGACACTTTAAACCCACATAATGTCTTCTTCCACACAGTGCATATGGTAAAAATCCATAGATCAGTAAACCATAAATACCAGTATGCAGTTCATATTACCTGACAACTGAAATTCTTGTGTTGCTCTAATGTGCATTAATGTAAAAGTCAAATTTTCTTTCTCTCCTGTCATCTAGTCTGGGATAACTGGTAGTTCTACATCACCTGCAGATGTAAATTTTGTCTGTCTCAGCTCTTTGAGTGAGATTTATAACCTATGAATGGATAGATAGACGGATACAGACTGCTTTAGACAATTCCTCTGTCACTGGGTCTTTACCAACAACACCAAAACAGTTAAAATGAGAAAAAGAATCAAATATTACATTTAAAATGTTAAAGTGTCTTTTGAAAACATGCCAGCAACGGTACTGATGACTTGATGACCTGAAGGTTCCCTAGGTGCTGTGTGCTTGCTATAGCTGACCAGGCTTGATTTTAAGCCTTTGAATTGAATTGTGGCACTACAGGGATCCTCAGGGCTGGAAGCAAACATAAGAAGCTGCTAAGGACTTTTCACTTTCTATCAAGGCCAGAAGCCAACAATGTGGAGATAGTGGGAGAGGAGCTTGATGAAGGATAGGATCAAAATAACCTAGAGAGGTTTTTGGCCCCACCATACAACAATTTGCATATAAATTGGGTTAGAATTACATCAGAGATCATCTCCATTACTGTTGTAATGGACAGGATGACAGATGTCATCCATGGAGTCTCCATGGAATATATATATATGTATGTGTGTATATATATATATATATGTATATATATATATGTTTTGTTTTTTGTTTTTTTTTGCAGACGACACTGTGATCTGTAGTGAAAATTCAGATCAGTTGGAAGAGAGCCTTGAGAGGTGGAGGTATGTTCTGGAGAGAAGAGAGATGAAAATAAGTAGAAACAAGACGGTATACATGAGTGTCAATAAGAGGTGGACTGCAAGGAGTAAAGGTAGTGAAGACAGATGAGTTTAAATACTTGAGATCAGTCATCCAAGGCACCAGACAGTACATGAGAGATGACAAAAAGAATGCAGGTGAGGGGGAGACAAGTGTCACAGGTGATTTGTGACAGAAGGATAGGAGCAAAAATGAAAGGGAAATTTTAAAAGATGTTAGCGAGACCTGCTATGATGTGTGGTTTTGGGAGCCAGAGTTGGAGGACAGAGGAGGACGCTGGGGATTGGGTGAGATAGAGGCAAGTGACCTGTTGTAGTGACACCTGAAGGCAGCTGAAAGAAGAAGATTTTGTGAAAGTTATTAGCAGAGATGGGCAGTAACGCGTTAATCCAATTACTTTTTTCAAGTAACGAGTAAAGTAAGGGATTACTATTGCAAAAAAGGTAATTAGATTACTGTTACTTTCCCGTAAGCATGCAGCGTTACTGCGTTACTAAAACCGTGATTTTTTTGGGAGAGTGTCTCATGACAGTGACGTAAGCGAGTGCAAAGTTCATGGCAACAGCTGTGTGCAGATCAACAATGGACAATATATCGAGTGCGGGAGAGCATATGACCGTGCAGCGTTTAAAGTGTGGAAGTACTGCCCTTACTTTGAGTTTG